AGCTGTAAAAAGCCCACGTGCCAAATATCCCCTTCTTGACAAAGCTAAGCCAAGTGGAGCAAGCGGGAGAAGCACATAAAGCTTTACATGTCTCTTATAGACCTCATATCCTGAGTTGATTAAGTGCCAAGAAGGCCCCAGCATGATCCAAGTCAATGTTTGGCTGCTTTTTAAAATGAAGTCTGCTACAACGGTCCAAGCCATGCTGCTTGCCAGGTCCCAACAGTGCGTGCGTCTGGGACGTGCCCTGTGCAGCACTTGTGCCAAGAAGGTAGGGCAAGACGGGCAACACAGGGACAGCGAAGCAATGTGATCTCCAGTAAAAAGGCAGCTGCTTTTATTAAGCTAATAGCTCCAAATCAGCACGCTGGTCACTCAACTCAAGAGCCTGAGGAGCAGCAGGACAGTCGTCACTGCTAGTACTTAGGAGGATGTACTGGTTCTTTGAACTGCTTCTCCTCCTCTCACAAGGATCCTGTAACTTAAGCGGCACAAGCCTACGCTACAAAACTAGATAGTTTTATCTAAGCCAGCACAGTTACAGCAGCACAAGCTTTCCAGCAGGGACACAGATATGCAGGGTATTGTGATGGGGGCAGAACTAAGGCTGTGAAGCAGAATATCTGCTGGGCATTTCCTCCCGCTACCTCGACCCTGCAGAGTACAGGAAACTCCAAGCAAGACCCCAGAATCAGAAGCTCCCCTTCTGACCACTTACTGACCCTCACAATCAAATTCCCATGGCAGAACAGGCCTAAACAAGTTAATTAGTTACCTAAAAGTCAGCAGTGCAAAGAGAGAGAAATCTTAGAGCTCAGGGTCTGACAGTCTTTGTGCCCAACACCAGCCAGAGCACAAACACTCCCAGGCCCGGCCTTAATCACTCACTGTCTCAGCCTCCATCCCCACGTCACCATATCAGGACTGCGGGGAGGATCCAGAGGCTGCGTTCATCTCTTTTTAAAGCACGGGAAGTTCCTGGTAAGACAGGTAATAAATTAGTAGTAATAAATTAGTTTTGTCTTTTACAGAACATTTTCTCTCTGCTTTAGTACGTTGAGCCCCACTGTCTTGGGCGTTTCTTAGGGAACAGGGAGTCGGATAGCGTTCAGGGGAGACTGTTTTTCTAAGATAACAAAAAAAGAGGTAAGAGACTAAAAATGGATCTAAGAGCTCTGTTAGACTTCCTCAAATTCCCAAACAGCCATGCCTTCACAGGTTTAGCTTGTAGCTATTTAAAAAGAGGGATAGAAAGTGTTTTTGTTGGCCATAGTCACAGAGAAAGCAGAGAGATCCCAGAGGTGCTGCCTGAAGCGCTATGAAAGAAAGTTACTTAGTATTGTCCCTATCTTGGGCATATTTAGGGATTTCTCTCTGTACTGGAAACTTAGCTCCCACTTTGGAGAAGAGGGGGGGGAAAAAAAAAAGCTATTTATCTGGAAATAGCCAGGAGAACCCTGATAAGGGAACTGTTCCGTGCTTTGCTATGGAGTCAGACAGCAGTCAGGGAAGAGCACTTGCTCAGTGAACACTGGTCTTATAGTTTCTCAGATCTGACAGCAACTCCTGTTGGTTTTCTGGAGAATTTCTGGGGAATTCTCAACCACTAACTATGGGTAAAATATTTGCTACGCTCTCCTGAAGCGTTTGGATAAGCAGAGCCCAACCTTTGTTTCCACTGCTAAACTGTTAGCGAAGATCAAAGATTTTAGTTTTTCATCCTTATTATTCTGATCAAGGACAAGCTGAGCGTAGCACATGTGTGCTCCAGAAACTTTCTATGTTTAAAAAAAAGGGGAGGAGGAGAATGGGGGCATTTGCTATCTTGGTAACTTGACTGGTGATGGAAAAAAAAAAAAGCACTATGCCACGATAGTTTAACTTAACAGCAGTTCTCAAACTCCTTCCACCTTTAGCTGTCTTCACAAAAAAAAAAAAAAAAATCTGGGTCCCAGACAAACAGTCTGGGATCCTGTCCCAATTTTCCTGATTTTTGCACTCTAGTCCATCTTTCTGAGAATTCATTTGTGATTTTTAGTTTGTGCTAGCTTTAATAAACCACCTCAAACTGCAAAAGACAGCTAAACCTAAGTGCTTGCTCCCACAGAATCTCCAGAAACAAAAGCTTTGTTAAAAACAATATGTGACTGCAAGAGTATTTCGAGGCAATCTACCCAGTGGCCAAACAGAAACATCATCTTTCAAGAAAGAGCCATTTGGAGAATCTGAGAACTGACTGTCAGGGCCACCCCTGTTGAAGAAGACATTATACACAGAGCCATCTGCTGAAATCAATCTCAGATTTTCCCTGAATTCTCACCTCATTCAATCTGAGCTTTGCTAACGCATGGGTCAAAGTCAAAATGGCTCAAGACTAGACAGGGTCAATTTGCGTTCGTTTGAAGACCACCAGGGAACCCACAAAAGACCTTTACCCTCTTCCCTTCTCAGCTCCTGCAGTTTGCTACCCCACCAATAGCATATGGTATCACCAGATGCAAGCCCCAGCTCTCATACAAAGCAAGTTGCACTGCTGTCTTGAAATCTGTGTGTGTCTAGTCTTGTTCTCCTCCTCCTCTCCATCTATAGAAAGATGCAACAGAACTGGAAGTGATTCAGCGACAGACAACCCGGATGATCAAAGTTATGGACTGGCTTTGGAAGGGAAACCTAAGGAAGGAATAACTACGTAGATTAGAAATCTTCAGCCTGGAAAACAGCTGAGGAGGAGATATGAAAGATCCAGGGACATCACAGGAGGCAGAAGACGATGTATAGGAATGGATGTAATCATCCCGCAGTCTCTGCACTCCTGGTGCTCTGTAGCTATACCCTGCCTAAATCCAAGCGAAGTGCAGTGTAGCTCTGGAACACCACTGGGAAAGTGCCCTTTGAAAAGGAAAAGGATTTATCATTCTCTCAGTAATTTGTGCTTCTGTCTTCCCAAGTGACACCCTCATGAATATGTTGTTCATATTCTTTTTATAATTTCCTGGTCAGCCTTTCAGGTTTTAATGACATTTCCAGAGAGACCCTAAAGTACCTAGATATTTTGCATCAATTAAATTCTGTGCACAAAGATGACAAAAACAGCCACATCAGGAAATCATGCTATAAGGGACCAAGCTAAGCTACAACAGACATTGTATTTTAACGAGACTCTCCGACGTGGCAGATTTCACAAAGGACTGTACTCATATTTTTTTCAGTGAAAATTACCTTGTTGTGTTTTCTGCATGGCCACAACAAAATTCCCAAGATCTGTCATATAGCCAGAAAAACAAATGCTTTTGCCTTCTACCAAGGTGGGCAAATGCAATCACAAAAGATGACTTCATCGATCTTCCTTCAGACTGAACAACAGGACAAGCTTTTTCTCTATGTATGCTAAGAAGGGCAAAGCATCTCAGATATAAGGTTCTTCCTCAAATTCTTTCTTTTTCTTTCAGTCGGCATATGGGTGTCTAAGCTGAAGGAGTAACTCCTGCTTATGTAGATGCATCCAGTGATATGCAACATGCACAACCATGGTATTTTCTTGAGTGTGTTCCTGACAAAGCTGGTAGTGAAAGCTGTACTTTGTGTCAGCACAGCTGAAGCAAAAACAGGCTAATGGAGAATAAGCTTCTAACAAAAATCAGACTAATTCCATCACAACGATGAGCTCTTTGGCTCATTTCTTACAAGCCTAATACAGGGGCCTAAGAGCAAATTTCCCAAAGTATAAATTTCAAAGAAATCTTTTTACAATCCAAAGGCCAAGCATCTTTTTTTAATAAAAAATTATTACTCCTAATATTTTAAACCCTAAAAGCTGCATCCTGAATAAAGACTCGCTCTGCTTTTGTTATCTGAACAGATTTGGCAGAGACGTAGTAATGAAAATCACATGTGTTCATCCATCAGACACCAGACTTCCATTTAGGAAGACAGGCTCTTCCCCCACAACATAACCCAGCACCGTTTTTCTGCTTGGCTGCTGTCCAAAGGCCAAAACCTGAGGATTCATGGTCGCTGTTACATTTGCTTTCCACTGAGGAATATACAAGCAATGCTTTTTCTCCAAGCTGTATCTTTGAACTGGTGAAAAAGAAAAGAATCTTTTCTGAGATTTTTCAAACTAAATGAATATTTGTTTTAAGAAATACCTCCTGCCATTTCATAACATCTAAGTAACCAATAACTTTATTACAAAGCAAACTGTCGTTCTTAGAGGAAAGCAGAAAAAAAAGGTTTCAAAGTAACACCTGCTTGTTAAGAGGAGGTGTGGAAGGAGAGTCTCAGTAAATTCCAGACTCATTTGTGATCGTCCCCACCAGGGCAGATCCCAGCTCCCTTCTTGATGGCGGGGGCGGGGATTACGTTATCTTGAGAATGATAAAACAAGATTGTGAAGATTCTGCAACAGTGGGTTTGTTTACGATACAGCGAAACACCTAAAATGCTCCTGTAGTAATTCCTCGTCTAAGCTTACGACATCTCAGACCTTTTTGTTTTCCTAACATTTACAGCCTCTGAGGATGAAGGTAAGAGACAGAAGACTTTCTTGTTATGGCAACAGACACCAAGATTTAGGCTCTTAGACTGCAAATTTATTTCTAAAAGATGAGCTTCAAGATAAGCAAAGTTTGCTCAATCACATGAGTAAGGCAGCAGCAGCTCAGGTCATCAAAACCAAGACCCGCATCCTTTTCCCCCTTTAAATTCCAGTCCTGGATCTGTGCTTTTGTGCCTGAATGGCTCATACAGCTGCCAGCTGGGACCAAACCCCATCTGGCTAGTCACTGTGAAGCCAGAGTTGGGACCTACTTGTGATATTTAAAGCTCCTACGTTGTCCACAGCTTCATGCTGAATTCAGGTCCCAAGGAAAAGATTATGGCAGCAAGTCACTGACCTCACAGAGTCCATTAGGAACTCACAAGTGGTGTAACATGGTGAGCGGAGCTAGAAATACCTGCCCTGTGCTGCAGGAATTAAACCTCTTCCAGTCTCAACTTACCTTGGCTGGAAACGTTCACGCAGAAATAAATCCCATAGATCTGATACACGTACAAAGTTCCTGGTTTCATGAACATTGCCGTGTTTCGCTGAGTTTGCTTCCCACCTTTGGAGTGGGAAGCCTCATCTTCCCCACCCAGATAAGCTTCTGTTTCAACAATCCTCCCCCGGAGTTCTCTGCCATCAGGAAGTTTGCGTACTAAAATCTGAAATACAGGTCAGAGTGCATCAGTTAGCAACCTGCCACACAAAATAACCACTGCAAGAGTTGTGGAAACAAAGTAGTGAGGAAAAAAATGTCACGATGGTACTGCATGCTCCCTCCTTTCCCTCTAGCAGTCCAGTCTGTAAGCCACCACAAATTCTTCCAGCTTCTACTGCCTGGGCTGCACCCCAGTACAAGAACTTTTTACCTGTCATTTACCCCAAAACACCTAGAGCGTTTAGATGTGGCAGTATCACGCAGAATAAATTTATGATCCTGTACACAATAAAGCAGCAATCTCCCCATCTCCTCAGAGCTGTTACTACAGTTATTTTCTGTATTCTCCGCTCCACCCCACCAGGAGAGCTAATGGTCTAGCATAAAAAGCACCACCAATAGCAACTCTGGAGCATGAAATGTATATGCTTTAGATCAGAAGAAATATGGCAATGACATAACTAAATAACCACTCTGATTGGGTAGTCCATCTCCAGAGAGAGGATGAAAAAAAAAGTCCTAGTCCCTAACCATACACATAATCACGACCAGCATATCAATGCTATTTCGTTATTTTCCACACCACAGAGAGGGGCAGTATAGGAGAGCTGGGAACACGGCTCAGGCAGACAACAACACATCTTTGTTATTGCAGTGTGTTCCCAGCCGCTGGTACCTCCTTAAATAATACAAAGTAGGTGGGGAGAAAAACATGACCCTGAAAAGATGCTCTTTAAAAATTAAAAAAAAAAAAAATCACTAAGCTCCATACAAAGTTTTTTGTGGTCTGACCTAATTTCTAAACATCGTATTTCGCTTAATGTGTGTTTATAAAATACGTCAGTATAGTCTCATTTGGGCAACAGCTATCAGTTTAATTATATTATATTCCGTGCTTCCGTATTTGAAAACAAGCGGTTCTGAAATGACCTTCAAGAAACAGCTCAACTCCCGTCAGATCTTTGCACTGGATAGCTAATGCAGTTGTTGATCTGATCCCATACAGATGCTCCCGAAGTCTGTCTCAAATACTGCAACTCCTATATATTGCCGTTGCCCTATAGCACTTTCCAGATCATTGAAAACATCAGTTTATTGTTTTCATGAAAAACGCAGCGACTTCAGAAAAGCTCTGGCGTTTAGACACTGTCTTGTGAACACCCCAAAGCACACCTACATAGCCAAATTTCTGTTTCAAGATGATGAAGTGCAACGGTAACATTATGTTTTTGAGAATCAGCAGACATTTCTCCGACTCTTCAGCCATATCACATATTCTCATTTAAAACACTTAAAAACAGGGAGCACGCACAACAGCTTATAGTAAACTCTGTTTTATAGAGGTTTTTTATGTCTCATTAAGGATCTATCTTGGTTTTAGGAAGGTTCATTGTGAGAGGCTGTTTATGGCCTGTATGACTTCAGGTATTTTTTTGTTTTCAATAGCGGAGAGCTCGAGTGTCTTGTTTCAGATAACTAATATTAATATAATGGGCACCTCCAAAATCTGGCAGAATGAAGATAATGAATGAACATTAAATTACCATTGTAGTTACATTTATAGGAAAATGAAAGAATAGATTGGGGCAGGGGGTCCAAGGCGTTAAACGCTATAAAAAAATCTAAAGTTAATAACTCTCCTGGCTCGTGACTCTAGGCCTAAATAGGAAAACTATTAGGACTAAACTATCAACTGCCTAGAGTGATTGAATGCATAAGAACATCCGAGTCATTAGGACAACAGCAAACACATTGGTACTGGGAAATTTCAGCTATCCCCATGCAGACTGGGTAAATATCACAGTGGGACAGGACGCAGACTGTATTTTTAGATAGCGTCAAATGCTTTGCAGAGTGGGTAATCAGGGATCCCCCAAGAGAAGACTGAACTCTCAAACTGATCCTGAGCAGAAAGCAGTCTCATTCAAGGCCTCATCCCTGAAAAATGACTTTGTATCATGACCATGAAGTACAAAGTTCAATCCCCTTGCACAAGCAATAAAAACTAAAAATAATCTGCTACAGTAGTGCTTACCAGCAAAAAGAGGAAACTACGTAAAATGAGGAAGCTTGTTAGGAAGAACTTAAAAGAGGCAGCCAAAGGTTAAAGCAGGAAGAGCAAGCCTCTAGCAGGATGTCTATAAACAGAGCAAATGTGTATGACGTATCAGAGAGAGGTTCAGGAAGACCAAAAAACCCTAGCAGGGTTAAAAGTAGAGCAAAGTCAATTACAAGCAGGACAACATCCATCAAAAAACCAAAGCTAGACACAGCAAGGCTGGCCAAAACCAACAGTTAGTGGAACAAATTCCTAAAGTTATCTGAACCAATGAGAAGCCACAGAGTCGGCTGGCCCTACAGACAATAAAGGTATAAAAAAGGACTCAGAAAAGCTAAGGTCATAGCCGAAAAGCTAAAAGCACACTTCGCCATTGTGTTTGGGATGTCCCACGCTGGACCTCTTTTTTTTCTTTTTCTTTTTTTTTTAAATAGGGACAACACTGGAGGAACTGCCTCCCCTGAAAAAGCGATCACTAGTGAGCTCACCATGTCTGCTGACATACTAAGTTATTCAGGGTAGTAAAAATAAAAGAAGGCAGTGCAAGATACAACATTCAAAGTATACAGGGCGGCGTGAAAGGAAGTACAAAGCAATCTGCTGAACTTCCAGATAAGAATGAAATATTCCAGTACACTATGACAGTGGACACTGGTCAACCAAGGGCCAAATACCTGCCATGCTATTAGCATCACAACATGTTAAAGTGGAGGTAGAGAAGGAGATGATGCTGACTACAGAGCATTAATTTTTTCTGGGCAAAGCAAAATGCAAAAAAAAAAAAAAAGAATATCTAAAAGGAAAATAATGGGCCTGAAACAACTTTCAAACCACAAACAGCAAAGTGCATTTCAGTAAATCAGAAAAAAGAGAGTAATAACTCCCAGAAAACTAATTCTGAAATGTGACAGTAAGTTAAACTTGAAAAATTACTCCTGTGACTTCATCCAAAATAGATTTGGCCATTAGTCTAAATTCCACTGATTTTAACACAAAAACGAATGAGCACCGTATTCCTAAACAGCAAAGCTCTAGCATCAAACTGTAGAACGAGAATTTCATCTGTTTACACTAAGTTACTAGCTAGCACATGCTCCAGTAAAGTAATCTGAGCGTTCGTGTCTTACCTGTCCCAGAAAAGACTTGGCCAGACTAATACAGGGTTGGTTAAAAAAATCTGATTCTAGCTGGGAAGAACTTTTCTTCTCTACTGCAAAATACTTGCTGCTTTTTGGAGAAGAGTCTCTATCCGGGGTGACATTCAGGTTCCCCAAGGCATCAAAGGGAGGGAAGCTGGACTTGCTTTGGAGAGTACTTAATTGAGCCAAAAGCTTTCTTTTTCTTGGCATAGTTCTGCAAAATTGGTATAAACATAATTAGAAATACAAAGCTTATTTAAAAGTAACTCATTTCCAAAAACTCGTATTTGTATACATCTCTTCATAGCAATGGATCTGAAAGCTATACCTAAGTGGACCAACTAGGCAAACTACAGAGGCAGGTGACATATTCAGCTCTGTCCGTCTCAGGCCATGCGAATATTGGGCTCTACTAACAAGAAAATGCAAAATTGCAGTTGGCGTTTTCATCTTTCATGGGCTCCAGATGAAAAGCAACTCTGCTCCACTTAGCCGTAAAAATAAAGTTTGCTGTTAGGAAATCCAGAAGTTGAAGACAATGAACGACTAACATAGGCTTTTTACCTACCACTCAGGCAACCTGTTAAGCAGCCACAACAGAATATGAAAAACTTACCTCAAAATTTTTGCTGGCTCAGCAGGTTCACAAAAGTGATATATAATTAATCATTTTAAACAGTAATCTAACCGGATAACGCAGAACATTTGAGTGGGAAGATGCCCTGTTTACAGTCTACAGTAACAAACTTGTTTATTCTATCGTGCTGTAGAAATGTTTGTGTAAGGACCTCCACAAAGTAAGCTTTACATTCACCTACCAAAGAGATGAAGAACAGTCTGTTCCAGTCTGCAGTATATATTTGTGGCAACTAGGTAACCTGAGATGGTTCTTCTAGCTTTTTCACCAATTTAATATGCAAGCTTCCAAAAGTTGTTTTCTATGCCTCGGCCCTTATACCTGTCAAACAAGAACAGCCTTATTTATTCACTGAATAAAGCATTTTGAAATCTATGCTGGCTAACAGCATGATGTGGGAGCTGGGAGGCAATGGATTAGCACTGCAGCACTGCCACATTTGGACATGCTCTTTATTTAGCCTTTGTTGTACAAAAGACGATGTAAAACAGTAGTAAAATGCACTTTTCCCATGCTCCAACAATACTGAATACATGAAAAGCTGAAACCAAACTTTAAAAAAATTTCCCCACTGGCACCAAATTTGGAAAGCGTCACCCTCAAAAAGGACTCTTATACGAGAATGCAAAGACATCAGTTTTCAGAAGATGCCTCACCAGTTCTGAAATTCAACCACATCTAGATATCATGGAGAAAAGTAAGTGTTCAACATCATACATAAGAAAAGGAAAAAGAATCCTATACCCAGTTGAACCTGCAAGGGTAGTATATTCATAACTAAAGTAACTGTTGCCCACTCGCTTTTCACCAGATCACCAGCTTTTAAAAATGACCACAACAATCTTCTTCATCAAAAACAATCTCTATCTCAATCTGATGCTTCTCACAAAGTAAAAGCCATCAGCAATACTTTCCTTGAACTACCCCGGAACAGATTCAGCAGTGCTATGTTCTGAATCAACAGTGCCACTTCCCAAAACCATTAGTTTCTGCTTCAGAAGAACCATCGAGACACCTACATATAAACAGATGCAGCAGAACATCTCACATGCGTGACTTGCAGAGAGGTGGTCTGATTTTTTTTCTGAACATCTAATGCCTTATTGCAGTAATTCAGTGATGTTAGAGACCTGCTGTAGCATGGCCAGCTCCAGGCCAAGCACTCTCTAGCTTGCTCTGTAGCTTTCAGTTGCGTTTTGTGGTGGGTTTTAAAAAAATCTCATTAGAGCTCACTGGCCTGCCTCAGACAAAATTGCCTTGTGCCCTTCACAAATGAGACTCCTCGTCTAGGAGAGAGCACGTGAATGGGAAAAAGGCTTGCAGGAAGGAAGGGATAGAAGAGGCACACTTCCCCATATCAAACTGACCTCGACAAGGTCAACCAAGGCAACGCTTCACACTGAAGTCGGTACCTCCAGGCTTCTCTGACAGCATTAACTGGAATTTCCAGTTCATCAGCGATATACAATGAAGACATGCAGAAAATATGGCCAATTTTTATGGGGCATTAACTCATTTGGTAGTTTGTGCTCTTATGGAATGTGACATCAGAAACAGGATCTGAGTTGCCTGGCACCTATCGCCTTTCCAACTAAATAATTTGTAAAAGCTGCAAGTTCTTTCATGTAAATGTTGTCCTGGCAGCCCTAGGGCACTTTACTTGCATTGCTATGGCCTGACCCTCTCCAGACCTCAGCATCTTCAGCTCTCATTAGAAACAGCAGTAAGATACTGCCTGATAGTCATGAGAAATGTGCAGAGCCTACAAAAACGTAATTGCTTTAAAAACAAAACCACAGATTTAAGGGAATACAATCCCATCTTAGAAAACCAGAAAAGCCCCACAAAACCCTTTTCTTTCCCTGCTGCTTCATACTAAGAAGAGAGATATAAAACCATGCATGCCTCAAAGCTTATCTACTTTTTCTATAAAGGATATTACTTTTATATACAAATCCCTTCTTGCCTATGAAATAGCACACGGTAGAAGAGAGTGCATATCATGTACCCAAGCCCTATTTATTTGGGAAGTAAGAGACACCATCTCCTCACAGGCAAGTCTACAGCCAAATCCTGCAGCTCACAACTGGAAAAACTTCTCAGTTCTATCTAAATTTTCTTGCTTGTGTAGTAAACAATGTCTACTTCTATATTGTGCGCCTCTGAATACACCTAAAGCCTGTAAAAAGCTATCCACCTCCACTTTTAAGAATATCAAATAAAAATCAGTGTGGTTCAATTAATGTTTACTAATCCTGTTATAAGCAAACTACCTACAAGTTGTTAAACACGTGTGTGTAAACGTACCCTCAAAAGGAAACAGGGAAGTCAGAAAAGGAGGCTCAAGAGCTGAACAGGCCTGCACAGCACCTAAAATGTTGATGGCTGCTGGGCTATTCTCAGGCAAGTGTTTAGGCGCCTGTAAGCCACAATTAAATAGATGCTGGCAACCTATGTAAAAATGATACAGCGAAGCAGCAGCTAGGCCCTTTGTCAAGAGACAACTGAACCTACACAGACTTCTCTAATCCTTCTAAGGAGACTGCATTTTTAGGTATTTCCTTGTGTATATAGTGAGTTTTTTTCACTAAAAAGAGGCCAAATAATCCCATCAGTAACTTTCTTATAGTCTTAGCTGACAGGTCCACATACCTGCAGCTGCAAAACACTCTTGACTCACGTACGTCTCTTTGACAGCATGATGAAGGAGGGTACATAAGAACACATTGCCACTTCTGGGGAAACAGTTCCTCATGCAAGTTCCCAGTTGCACAGATTTTATATGGGACTATATGAACGGTCATACCGGGTCACACCAAAGGGCATCTCTCCCTGTATCCTGTTCTCCAGCACAGGTCAAGAGCAGAAGCCTAGGGAAGAACAGGACAAGCACACAGGGTGCCTGCCTCTCCAAGCATCCTCCAGGTTTCCAGCCATCTGCAGCTCAGGGACCTTCTGAACCAGGCCTGGGTCCTGTATATTAGTAATTGTGATCTTACCTAGCCTCCTCCTGAACCTGTGTAAACTTTGGGCCTCTGTATTCTCCTGTGGCAACCACTGCTTAATTACGTGTTGCCTGAAGAACTGCCTCCCTTAATCCATTCTGAACCTGCCTCTTGATGGTCCCTAGTTCTTGTGTTTGTAAGAAACAGTGAACACTCGATCCTTGTCCAGCCACTCCATGCCACTCACTCCCGGAAAAAAGATAACTGAGGGATAACATGGCAGAGCAACATAGGAGTCTTGACCCACTCACTCTTTTCTGTTACGCAACTCCTATCAGATCTCCAAGCATCCTCACTGTCCCTCTTTGACATTTTCCAGTTCTATTCTGTTCTTTTAAGATAAGAGGACCAGCGCACACGGTATTCAAGACGTTGGCATGCCACATATGCCGAGAGTGACCTTCACATGTTTTCTGTTTTGTTCTCTGAAGATGACCTCACAGAATTAGTTGTTATGGCTCCAAAATCTCACCCATTTTGTGTGTGAAATTAGGACTGCTCCCCTTCCCGCAAGCATCAATTTACACTTGCAGTTCTTCAGTCAGCCCTCATATTTACCACCTTGTATAAAGTAAAGCCAGCGGAAAACATCGTCATTTCAGCGCTCAGTCCCTTTCCCAGGTCACTTATAAAAAGTTTATAAAAAGAGCACGTCCCTGCAGCACTCCACTAGTGGCTTCCACTCACCATATGGGCTGCCCATTTACTCACACCCTCTTTCCTATCTATGCACCAGCTGGGTTTTTTTGTTTTTTGTTTTTTTTTTTCCAAATGATGCCAGGGGCTGCTCAGGTGAGGGTACTTGTTTGAAAGCATCTTGTAATCTGAGTACACCCCATAAGCCAGACCTCTTATCTGCATGCTTATTTAGACCTTCAAAGAGTTCCAACAACTTTATAAGGCCTGACTTTCCATTACAGAAACTGCAATGACTCTTCCCCATTATATAATATTTATCCAGGTGTCCAATAATTCTATTTGCTATATTTTCTACTTATTCACTTGGTACAGCTGTCAAACTTCCTGGCCTGCATTGCACAGATTTTCCCTAGAATCCTGTTTAGAAGCGAGACATTTGCTGCTCTCCAGTTCACAGAAATTAGTTTTCAGTGAAAAGGGAGAGACCGCCCTTAGCAGTGCTGTCCCCTGGGGCTTCCATCTGGTGCGCAACTTTTTCCTGTCTGTTGTCTATTTGTTCCACAACCCCTTACACAGACACTTCAGTTTAAACCAGATCCTTCAACAGGTCCCCAGCAAGAAGGATTACCAACCACCTTTCCTGTCTAGTCTAACCTATTAGTAACCAGAGGAAAGTTAATACTGCGCATATTGCATGCTGTATTTGTTCTCAACTCCTCTATTCTTATCCCAACGCGCCACAGTGCCTTCTTGTAGGAAAAAGAAAAGACCTTGTGATTGTCTTTTCCAAAAGCAAAGCCACCTATTACATAACTTCTCTTTGTTCCCAGTCTTGATTCATCATGGAATCACCTCCTCCAGGAAAATCTATTTTCCTTTGCCTATCAATTACTCAAAAGCCAGATCTGTCTTTCACCTCGGCCCCATAGTACCTAGAGGTTCAGATAAGATCTCAGCTTAACGGCCACAGCCAAACCTGCCTCTCCCCTGATTCCTAAAGACACTTCTACTAAGGCTTTTCTACAAGCCAAGCCACAACAGCATCACACACACCTAAAGCAGGATGAGATGGAGGGCTGCCAATGCTTCTGTGAAGATCTTTCCTCCTTCTACAGCAACCAGGGGAGATAGAAATTTAAAGTAAAGAAGTTCCTGCAAGCAAGCAGATGTCTGAGCTAGACAACAGGAGGAGTGGAGTCACTCTCTAATGATTCCTGATACAGACAGTATCAGATGCAGAGAGACCCAGTGAGCCAGGTGCTATATACATGGTTCTAGGTTAGGATAAACTCTTCCCTCCAACCCTCTCTGAAGTCCTCTACAAGAAATCAAAATGAAGAGAAACAGCTCCTCTGAGGGATGGCAGGTAACAGGAGAGCAAGACGGGGCTGTCTGTCTAAGGTGCCTCCCCAAAAGCCATTGTCAAGTCTATCAGAAAAATTGCACCATTTGTGACATAAAACTCTCCCTCAGGAGAGGTATCCATCTACATTATATCTCCCCACACTAGAACAAAGATCTACGTCCAGCTCTCTGGACAACAGCATAATAAGCAAACAGAATCTTCGCAAAAGAAGAGCGCAGCCATGGGCCGACAGACTATAACTACAAATTATTAAGTCAGTCTCTCCATAGACTATGCGCAATCCTACTAATGTCTCAAGAGCTTGGCAAAATAAATGATGATTTTTTCACCTTACTGTGTGCTGGGGATATCAGTTTCTGTAAGGCCTCCTTGTAAATCCCAGTCCACCTTCCTACTGCCTGCCAGACATCCTGAGGGTTTCAGAATGAACTTTACTTATCCTTCTGCAAAGGACAGGGAAGAGAAAAATGAGGGAAAGTGACGAAGAGCCACCAAGAACCCAAAAAGCCTTCAGCAAAACTATGCCCAGTTTTGACTGACTCTTTTAAGCCTTTTCATCTTGTTTGGGTTTTTTGCAACATTCCAAGCACTATTTTAAACTGAGAGTCAAACTTACATATTAACTGAAAGCACATAAGTTAAATATAATACTGACCACAGATGTTAGCTAGCTCAGCCTCCTGGGATTGTTGCTAACCAAGACAATACCAGGTAGAATTCAGAAAGGCCACAAACAGTGATCAGGAGATGGAGATTAGGATTCAGCATCATCTGCAGTTCTAGCTTTTATCCTTAAGTCTCCATTATTTGTAGCAAATGTACGTAGGTGCATTGGGTTAATCATTCAAGAGCTATGAGACTTAGTTTTTTCACCTATTTGGTGGCAGTGAGAGCGCTCCTCATTTGTAAAGGATACTGAAAGAGCTACATAAGGGGATATACAACTGATAATACTTCACTCGTAGGTACCTTGTAAAATGACCTTTATGCTAGAAAATGCGTTCCTTCCCCAAATCTTAATATTACACGAGGAACAACCTGGCGCAGGCATGGTGTTTGACTCAGTGACCAAAAATGTTTCACCAAAGCCTCCACTAAATCATTGATAAAAGAGAAAATGTATGGCTCAAATGCTCGAGTATCTGAACAACCAACTGCCCCAGGTCTGTTAGGAAACTTTCTAGGTTTTGTTGTTGTTGTTTGCTTTGTTTTGTTTTTTGCAGCCTACCTTGCAGAAGTACCTAACGGGTTCATTTTTGACCTCCCTTCTCCACTATGGCCTGTCCATGAACACTTAAGAGCTCCTGTTGAATACAGCAACTTACAGGCTGTGAAAAGAAATGTAAAGCAACAAAGACACAAAGATTTACCACAAAAGGACCCTGCAGTTGCTTCCTGCATAAGCATGGAGGCAGAGAGTTCTCCCGGTTCCTCCTAAGAAGTCAGCCTAGGCTCAAACTCAGAGAAAGGACCTGCTCCACATCCATAGGTCATGTGTGTGTTCCCCCCTAAGAGAAGTCTTTGCCTGAGGGAGACAGAGGCCAGATGATTTTCTCCAAGCTCAGGCCAGCTCCTCAGAGTGAAAGAAAGGCCTCAGCATTCAAACTCTCCAGCAAAACCCGGCACAGGGAATCGCAGCCGCACTTTGCAACCATTCACGAGCCAGGCTCAGCAACAGCTTAGCTGCTGCTTGAGATTAAACTGGGACTGATTCAACAAATACGCTATCAGCCGCTCTCCTGATTGATATAGCCCCTTTCTATTTTCAACCAGAGACCTGTCCTACATTTAGCAATTCAGCGCAGTATATCCGTACCCAGCAATTCCGTACCGTATATTCTTGGCAGGGAGGAAAAGTTTATGGGCACTTTGCATTGCGTTAGGAGATGCTGTTAAAAGTTAGAGTAAGAAAACAGAACGCTGGGTCAAACCCTTGATGGATGGTGATCAGCAGAAATAGGATTGTAAATGCCGGCTAAGATAAATAGCTGATGTAATGTCCACCACGATAGCGAGCGTTTTCAAAAGCCTCGAACAAAGCCTGCAGGCCCAGTGCAGACAAAGAAGGATCTGAGGAGAGAGGACAACTTCCCGCACAACTTTGGAAAATATGCTGTACGCAACAAAACTAGCTTGTTACTGGCAAGCGAGACTAAAAAACTTCTGATGATATAACACAGGACAAAATGCAAAAATCTCTCCTAAAAATAGGATGCTTCCAGGAAGCTAGCAATTCACTGCTCATTGCAGAGCCTCTGAAAATCTGAGTCAAGCAGAGACTTGAAGGAGCGCAGCAAACAGATGTTCCCTTTCGCGTCACAGCGGCCTTGTCTCTTACATGACGCTGATCTTATTTAGAAGAGACTCTGCTTTTCAAAACAACTTTTCAGGACATTTCTGTCAGCGGAGTCCTTCCTCGCCCTATAGGCCCAAACCATACTCTTTTTGTGACACAGCGTATACATCTGTATAGCAGTTGCTTTTAGAGCCTTTGGCTAGGAAATCGCTCTTCTCCCAAGATCTTTCCGACATCCGTTATTAATTCCATAATAATCTGCTTGCTTTATTAGGTACAAAAACGACAAAGGAAGCTCTCTGCAGAACAAAAGGGACGTGAAAGCTAGGAACAGTTAGGACATTTTTGTATTCCAAAATCTGAACGCCGTATAACGTGCTGCTTAATCACCAGGTCACGTGCATCTCTCCCCCAGGCTGAACTATATGCAGAAAACGGGGGCAGTACGTTATTCGGCCTTCAACGCTCACTACACGGTCTTTGCATACTTACCGCACGCGATCTCGGAAGCACAACGCACAGAAAATAAAGCTTTTACAGCGCCCGGCGGAGGTGTCTCGGCACCCTGACCCATTACACGGAGGTGTCTCGGCACCCTGACCCATTACACGGAGGTCCGCGGCGCTGATAATCGCGCCAACACAATTTCTCTGCTGCTTATGGCGGCAGGAAGCACCCCGCAGCGTTTCTAGCGTAGGCCGGCCAAGCCTTTCCACGCCAACAACGCTTGAAGCGGCGCTACGCACAGCCCGCAGGCGCACCCTTCACTTCATGTATTTGTTTTTTGAAAGCGGGACGTAACTACTAACATTTCTACTACTAGTAACTACAGACAGCC